GCTGGCGCGCGGCTGGGGGGCGCTGGCGCCCGCAGGCTGGGTGTGCTGGGGGCCCCACCTCGTGGGTGTGCCCGCACCGGGCCACTCGCAGGGCATCGCGGCCGAGGACCCTGCTTGGGGAGGGTATGCACCTGGCTTCTCCCAGGGTCGCTTCCCCCCAAGCCACACGCAGGGCAGTGGACGCTTTGAAAGGGGATGCAGAGGGCGGTTTGGTGAAGGTGACCTGAGGGGAGAACGAGGGTGACCCTGTGTGTGTGCTCCCGCCTCGGTGAGGGCCTGGGCCTGGGGGGGTGTGAAGGTTTGCCTACCAAGTGCGTGGGTGCCACCATCCCCCCATGTGTGGGTGGGTGAAGGGGACCCATTGTGCGTGGCGTGTACCAGTGCCTGGCTGGGCCACCGTGGCCACGACCATGTGTGCCTGCAGGGGAGTGGGGTGCGAGTGGGAAAGATCCCTGGTGGGCGTGTGCTGGACTCGTGGGAGTGCTCGTGTAGTGCACAGTTACCTTGGACACGGGGTAGGGACCCTGGAGGGGGCCACGTGTGTGCGGGTAGAGGTGGTGTGTATGAGGTGACCCCTGAATTTCCCTTTGAGTGACCACAGCGGCTGTGGATTGAGCGTGGCCCCGGCTCCTTCGGGGAGTGGGAGGAAGAGGGTGGAGGAACCATGACCTCGCTGTGAGGGACGCAGGTCCCAGTGAGTGCTTTGTGGGCTCCTGTCCAGACCCTGGCGTGGGTGGGCGGGGGTTTCTAGTTCCAGCCTCCTCAGCTCGTTCTAGGAGCAGTGCTGTTCCCCATCCCCCGGGGCTGAAAAGGAGCTGGGCCTGTCAGGCATTGCCAGGTGCCCACGCTGCCCCTGCCTGTCCTTTTCCTCTTAGAGCCCGAGTGGCAGGAGGCAGGAGGACAGGCAGGGCTCCAAGGGGCGGACAGGTTCCCAGTCAGCCTCATGGTGTGGGGCTGTGGGCTGGGGGTGTGGGTGTAAGGAGCCTGGTGGTCCCACCCTCATGCTTGTTCTCCAGGTGGGGTGAAGACAGAGGTCTCTGTGAGGGGACAGAGACCCTACCCATCCTAGCAGCACTTTCTCAGAGCTTTGTAAAAATCCTTAAAACTAAAGACTTGGGAATCACAGTCTTGGGTTCAAATCACCCGCTACCACCGCCCCTTTCTGGTGTGATCTTGGGCACGTGGTGCCACTTCTCAGAGCCTGGGACCTCCCTCTGTGAAATGGGGTTAGTGACAGTTTCCTCCGAGGGAGCAGGTTACATGCGATGTGCAGGGAATATTGGATGGAAGAGTGACGGGAAATGGGCTCAGGACAAAATGCTGGAGACTTGGAGGACCCATGGGCATCAGAGCTGTGCGGCCCTGGGCAAGTCACTGGCTGTGCTGAACCACTGTCCCCCATCCATAAAGCAAGGCCAGCAATCACCCGCCCACACGAGGTGGTGAAAGGAATTAAACAGAACTTTTAAGGGCCTGGCGGACAGTAGGGCCTCAGCAGGGCAGGGTGGCCCTGAAACTGGGGAGGAGGTAGGGCTCAGACCCAGTGGTGGGTGGCAGATCAAACAATCCCCCCACCCCAGGGAAGGGGCTGGATTTCAGGGAGAGGAGAGACTGTAGGGGTGGGGCACCGTGTCCCTCCGGCTGCCCCTCTTCCCAGGGCTCCCGCTGTGAGGAAGGCCAGCGGCAGCCCTCTGTGCTCCTGTGGCCTGGGAAGCAGAGGTTGATGGGTGGGGCTGGTTGCCAGCAGAGGAGAGGGTGACGCCTGCCGAGCGAGCGCACAGGGACTGAGGCTGTGCTGGCGCCCAGCCAGGTTCTGCAGGAGTGACCTCTGTGGTGGGTCCTCTAAGGACATAGGGGGTGAGTGGTGGCTGGCTCAGGGCAGTGGAGAGACAGGATGACCTGGGTCTGCCCACCAGCCTGAGGAGGAGGGGATGGCAGGGCTCATTCATGCTGTGGATGGGCTCTTGGGGTGTGTGTGTGTGTGTGTGTGTGTGTGTGTGTGTGAGAGAGAGAGAGAGAGAGAGAGTGTGTGTGTGTGTGTGTGTCCATCTATCCTGGTGTCTCCTTGGGGAGTCCTGTCTCCTGAGAGACCAGGTGACTTCTTGAGAGACATCTGCCTTTAGGAGCACCTCAGCTGCTATATATAAGTCACTTACCAGAATGGCTTGGAGTGTGGGGGGAGCCTGAAAATTTTAGCTTTTGAAATATGTTCTTTTTAAAAGCCTAGATTTGGAAAAGATCTTAGGTGTCGCTCATTTGAGTGCTTTCAGTGATGGGAGGCCACTAATTTGTGGCCATGTGACCTTGTGAAAGCTATTTAACATCTCTCCTTTAGCTTCCACCTGTATGAAACGGGGTAGGTGGAGTGAAAGGGGAAAGCTTTTAGCACAGTGCCTGACAGATGCTAAAGCTGCACAAATGTTGCTGTCTTGTTCTTCACTGAGCTGCCGTCTGCGGTTGGGCGGGGGCAGAGGTGGGCAGTGGAAAGCAGGCTCCTGCCCCCGCCCCACCTCCCTGTTTCAGCATCGAGGACCCCCTGATTTTGCTGCTGC